TTGTATAAAAGTTCAAATGAAGACCACAGAAACATGAATACAACACGAGGCAGAAATTCAGATTAACATAAAAACAAAACACAGACCACGTCGAGTCCCGAAAGGAACAAACATAAGAACAGAACACACACATCTCAAGTATACATGTGTACTTGAGAGGCTGTTATTTAAGGAGTGCATGTGTGTGAGTGTGTGTCCTGTGTGTGTTTCAGTCAGCTGTGCAGCAGTCAGCTGTGGTTGAGACGTTGAATCTGCTGCTGCGTCTCAGGTCTGCCAGTTATGAGTTTGTGAGGGAGCTTCTCACGCTGCTGGCTTTCAAATTACTGGGTCTCAGGTGAGGGGATTATGGGATGCTGCAATGATCTGTTTGGTGTTTCAGCCAATCAGAGACAGGCTCTATCTGAGGCCTGTGATATATTGATGAGAAACAGTAGAATAGGGGACCTTTGACTCTGTTACACCTGCATACAAAGAATAATAAATGAATTGATAAAAAGGTTTGAATTGTATTTTTCCAAACAGAGAAGCGGTGCTGAGCATTCTGACTTCACTATCTGTGAATGAGCCTGAGATGTGGCTAGCACCTGAGATGGAGGGCTGGAAATCGGACCCGTCTAACACCTGGAGCGGTTTCCATAACAGAGCAGAGTCCTGGCTGCAGGAGTGGATCTCCAAATACAAAGTAACAGCAGCGTGTTGTATTGAGATCTGTACTTGTGGGCAGAGAGGGCGAAGTCTGAAGAACATCCTTTACTCAAGTAGAAGTACAACACCTTTCCCTCTCTTCTCCACCCCTCCAGGAACATGCCAGGACTTCAGGCAGGTTCAAGCCATCGAGCGTCAGCCTGGTGGACGTTCTGAATTACTTCTGCTCGCTGCAGAGAGAGGAGTTCAGGAAGGCTCGATGTGTGGCGCCAGCCGGGCACAAAAACACCGTTCTGATGCCTCTGAATGACTGGTATGTGTCGGAGCAACTTCAAATCAGCTGCTGCTGTCTAGAGAAAATAATGAGTTAGGCAAATATTCAAAGAAACAAAGTGAACAATGTTTTTATTAACATTTTATAAAATAAAACACAGTTCCAAACATACAGAAGAACACTACTCAAGGTGAAATGACCCTGAGGTACAGGGGCAAACACAAACACGCTACCCTTCCTACAAAGACACATCTTACATACATTTCAAAATTGACTGACATTTAAAGGCCCTTTGGTTCAATTCAAGGCACTTTCTTATTCTGAACTCAAAATAATCACATTATGAGGTTATCCTCATCATCTGCTAGCTCCATACCGTCCACTAACAAATCCTTCCCTTTTAGTATATATGTTATTGATATAACGTATTTTAAGATCTTTTCTTTTAATGCTTGCTAGCATGACGAGGCCTTCTGAGTATGTATACAAGACATGGAAAGTGGATTTTGCATAATTGGTGACCTTTAACAATCTGTTTGTTTGTGCAGTGGCTCTCATCCAATCCAGCGTCTAGGAGAGACTCACAGCATGGCCAGGACCTGGAAGACACCAGGTGACATTCAATAAACATCACACTTCATTTAACAGGTCACAAAGAGTGCTTCACAAACCAACACATATAACACATGAGCTCCGACTAGGTAATAAATAACGTACACATAACTTGAAATGAACCCACTTTAAACCAACAGAAGTCAATAAACACAGGACTTAAAATAAAATAATAAAATGGAACAAATTAAGATAATTATACAAATTTATAATAAGAAAACTATTCTAGACACCTCACCTTGGGTCTTTGTTTTCACTTGAGATATCATTGAATTCATGAATACATGATTAACTGATGATTAAAAGGCCAACACAAGAAGACCTTAGGCTCCATAGGTTCAAATAAAATCTCATAAATAGTTACAACCAAGCTTTAAAAATTCAATAAAAGTATTTAAAACGGATCCACTGTACACGAACAAACACTGGTTTCTAATCTGTGATGTTTCCTCGTCTCAGGTTTTATTCTTCCTGCCCTGAGACACCGTCCCTTCCTCAGTCTCTTCCCCAGATTCATCTCCTTCCCGTTACCTCGGGTCACTTTGCTCCCCTTCCTCCTGTCTTCAGAGGACACCTGGCTGCAGGCGACATATCGACGATACTTCATCCTGCAGCAGTCGTACGTCGAGTACTACAGATGATACCTCCTTATATTAAACAATTAAACAGAGATGTTAAAGTACACACATCCTGTACTCAAGTAGAAGTACACACATCCTTTACTCAAGTAGAAGTACACACATCCTTTACTCAAGTAGAAGTACACACATCCTGTACTCAAGTAGCAGTACACACATCCTTTACTCAAGTAGAAGTACAGATACTCGTGTTTAAAAATACTCTGGTGAAAGTAGAAGTACTGACTAAACTTCTTTACTCAAGTCAAAGTAAAGAGGCTTTGAAATGTACTTCAGTAAAAAGTACCCATAACTAGCAGCTGTTTTAAAGAGTACCTGACCTCCCTTTATATTAATAGAACAATAATGTCATTGTTAGCTAATGAATGTTTCCATGCTGAACAACGGCAACATGACAACGTTTCCATTGGTCCCTCTTCTTTAGAGAAGACCAGGAAATGATGGATACACGGATCGTGTTCAAATCAATAGGCACGCAATGACTCTAAATAATAATGATCACGCCACCAAACACACATTCAGACTAAAGGAACCAGCCTGTTTGGAAAATGAGAGAAGTAGAAAGTACAGGTATTTGAGTTCAACATGTAAGAAGTAGAAAGTACAGGTATTTGAGTTCAACATGTAAGAAGTAGAAAGTACAGGTATTTGAGTTCAACATGTGAGAAGTAGAAAGTACAGGTATTTGTGTTCAACATGTAAGAAAGATGAGTGACCAGACTACTCCTGATTCTCCAGATGAGTGACACAGACTACTTACCTATCTCTAGATGAGTGACACAGACTACTACGCTATTCTCCGATGAGTGACAACAGACTACTACCTATCTCCGACGGTCTTGCGTCCGGTCAAGCCGGTCTGACGGACTTCTGCCGGCAGTCTGAGTTTTCTGCCTCGACTGGAGCCGGGGGGGTTTTACTGGAAATTTTTTGTTGTTTATTCAGTTTCAGTTGAAATAAACAGTTAGAAAAGTTCAGAACAGCACTTGCTGATTCTTATCCACTTACCGCAAAAACACTGTTATCAGGTTCTTTGTGTTTGTCTCGCTCCCTCTGGTGGAGAGACTTTCGTGTCTTCTATTACCTGGCCCTCGACTGCTCGCTCTCAAAATGGACCACGGTAGCTTAACCACCTCACCTGCCATTAACTCCCTACTGCCTGCGTCGCGCGGACGCTGTCGTCCCCGGTACAAGGAGGTGACGAGGCCTCACTGGTGGAGGAGCCTTCCCACGGAAAGTTTATTCTCTGGAAATTAAGTTTGCCGAGTAGTACCAGAACACGGGTCCTCAACTCTCCTTCATCGACGACTCATGTTTATGATAACGAAGTCATGCAAGAAGACCATAGTCATGAAATGCCAGGGTTGCTGAAAATGAAACCCTGAAGAATGTACAACTTGTGTATTATGACATGAAAGATGAAGGACTGTACAACGTTGTGTTTATGGAAAATGAAAGAATGAACGAATGTACAACTGTGTTATGGACCATGAAAGATGAAGAATGTACAACTTTGTGTTTATGGACATGCAAGATGAAGAATAGTACCAACTTGTGTTATGGACATGAAAGATGAAGAATGTACAACTTGGTGGTTATGGACAGAACCAGATGAAGAATGTCCGAATCTTGAGTTTATGGACTTGAAAGATGAAGGAATGTACAAACTTGTGGTTATGGACATAAAGATGAAGTAATGTCCAACTGGTTTATGGACAGAAAGATGAAGAATGTCGCAACTTGAGTTTAGGGACATGAAAAGGAGAATGACAACTTGAGTTATGGAGAAAAAGATGAAGAATGTCCCAACTTGGTGTATGGACATGAAAGATGAAGACATGTCCAACGAGTTTATGGACATGAAAGATGAAGAATGTCGCCAACTTGAGGTTTAGGACGATGAAAGATGAAGAATGTACAACTTGTGTTTATGGACATGAAAGATGAAGAATGTCCAACTTGTGTTATGGACATGAAAGGGGAATGAAGAATGTCCAATTGAGTCTTATGGAACGATGAAAGAAACGAAATGTCCCAACTTGAGGTTTATGGCATAAAGATGAAGTATGTACAACTTGGTTTATCGGACATGGAAAGATGAAGAAGTACAACTTGAGTTTATGAGCGATGAAGATGAGAATGTCCCACTTGAGTTTATGGACATGAAAGATGAAGAGAGTACAACGTTGTGTTTATGGACATGAAAGAGGAAGAAATGTACCAACTTGAGTTATGGACATGAAAGATGAAGAATGTCCCAACTTGAGTTTCATGGACATGAAAGAGAAGATGTCCAACTTGTGTTATGCACATGTAAAGATAAAGAGAGTACCAACTTGGGGTTATGGACGATGAATGAGAGATACAAACTTGTGTATTGGACATGAAAGATGAAGAATGTACAACTTGTGTTTATGGACATGAAAAGATGAAGAAGTACAACTTGTGTTTATGGACATGAAGAGAAGAATGTACACGTGAGTTATGGACATGAAAGATGAAGAAATGTACCCACTTGAGTTTATGGACATGAAAGATGAAAGAATGTCAACTTGTGTTTATGGACATGAAAGATGAAGAGTGACACTGGGTTATGGACCATGAAAATGAGAGAGGGTACAAACGTTGGGTTATGGGAAAGGATGAAAAGTGAATTAATGTACAACTGTGTTTATGGACGTGAAGAGAGAAGATGTACGAATCTTGAAGTTTAGGTACATGAAAGATGAAGAGGGTACCAACTTGGGTTTTATGGACAGAAAGATGAAGAGGGTACAACTGGGTTATGACGGATGAACAGAGGAAGAAGTACAACTGGGTTAATGGACGAT